TATGACATCCTGTTCTGAACTAACAGGATTGCAGGATTGGATAAGTCTGAGTTTTTTCAGGAAATAACTCAGTCCCTTCTAAACAGAATCCTGCGTTTTCTGAGGAGTAACCTAACTCAATCCTAACCTGATCAATAAAGTACTATGACCTGGTCTTTAGGTCAAACGGAATCAACCCTAGGTTTTTGGAAACCCTAACTGAAGTTGCAGCTGCTATATATTCAACAGAGCTGCGGTTTTTTCAAGGCATCCCTGCTGATTGATTAGAAGATCAATTTTGTAATCTGTATAGATTTGTTTATTGTACTCCAAGCAATTATCATTGTGATAAGTGTCTTGGAATAGGTTTCAATTGTAAGGGTTGTGTAGCACTCAAAGCTTTGAAGCAAGAGTGTTTGAATGTTACTTGACTAAAGCTGTGAAGCAGAGTCAAGTTAGTTGTGTACATCACTCAAAGCTGTGAAGCACGAGTGATTGTGTTACTTGATTAAAAAGCTGTGAAGCTTAATCAAGTGTGTGTTTTGAAGAGTGTCTTCATCAATTCTCAAGTCAAATTGGTTTATGTATCACTGCTGTGATTGAGGGGGAGTGAGTAGGAACTCAGGTTTAAGTTGTTACTTAGATTAGAATTGCATTGGGTAGGTCTTAAGTGAAGGAGATAAACTGGTTGGTTTATTCCTGAATTAACATCTCTTATAGTGGATTCTCTCCCTGGCTTGGTAGCCCCCAGAGTAGGTGTTGTTGCACACTGAACTGGGTAAACAATTGACTGTGTTATTTACTGCTTTTGTATTTACTGTCATATAGTAAGTCAGATACGGTGTCATAACATTGGACGTGACATTGAGTATTTGTAGCCAGAATTTCACGGACGCTGGGGCTCGAACCCAGTTCCTAAAGGTGAAAGGTGCGCGCTTCTACCACTGGAGTGGCTATACATCCGGTATTATAACCAAAACCATAAATATATATTTGAAAACCCTTCCTAAGCATGTGTCATCTTCAACCTCGCGCCAGCTTCCATGAACAATATTTTTGAATTCTGTAACTTGCTCATTTCTTAATCATTCTCAAAAGTGTAAACATCAAACTTGTTAGAAATTTCACAACGATTTCAAATATGTAAACTAATCAACCTAACTCTCAAAGATGAATATGAATTTTAACTGGTACCAAATCTGACCTAAATATTCTAGAAAGTTCAAACTTGAAATTCACACTACTAAAGCAATATAAATGAAATCTAAGGACATGGTTAGCTTCAAGGCTATGATGTCTACATTTTATTTTCACAAATCAGAACCAAATGATGCTTGTATGAAGAGTTGAAAGTCTAGAAAACTTACCTCAAAACTGGATTTCGTGTTTTGAGTTTGAGCTTGCTTCAAGTTACTGTAATGATCAGGTCAACTTCCTTGAGTCCCTAAGAAGTTATTCCAATGGTTACCTTGCGCTGAGAGTGCTTGAACTAGCTTGAAGAAGTCAATATGCAGACCTCTGTTTTTGAAAATGAAAGATGGTGATTGAGGCATTAGAGTTTGAAAACATGGATTGGGATAGTCTCTATATGTGTATTAGAAGCTTTGTGAATGGTTTGGCCAAGGAACGCACGAGTAGATTTGAAGATGAGTGTGTAAATTCAGAAATGACACAAAAATGGAGGTTTTGTGAAACTTATGGCTTGAGGGAGTTTGAGAGGTTTAGAGGGCTTGTAATCTCGTCCTTATGCTTGCAAATGAAGGTTTAATTTATAGGCAAAGAGTTTGGAAGCTTGTAGAAGTCAGAAGTACAACATCACATGTTATGGATTTTGACTTGTTTTTGAAGCAAGCTTGGACAAACATGGTTTCAAGGCAAGGTAGGGTGGCTAGCAACTTTAAACATGCTTGTTCTGATTGTGTAGAGGATGCTTATGCAGAAAGAACAAGTGCAATGCTTAAGACAAGTTGACTTTGCATAAAGCTTGCTTTTCAAGAATGACAATGGTTACTTTCTTTCAAAAATGAAACAATGCATTGGGTTAAGAGCTCAAATGCTTGAAAAATGGCTCTATCAGTTGTGTAAACCATTAATTATGGAGTGAAACACAAGTTTGATGCCTGCAAAGCAAATATTATGCAACATGGGCTTGAGATTTAAATTCTTGCTCATCACAAAATGACTTATAATTCAAGTTTGAAACCCTAACTTCATCTCTTCGATTCTCTCAGCTCAAGCATGATCTCAATGAGTTCTTGGACTTTTTAGAAAGCTTGTAACACCCTCTACAACATTCATGTTTTCAATTTTTTAAGAAACCAATTGGAACTATGTGAAAAGTTATCATGAAGTTGGTACCAAAAATCTGCCTAACTAGGTCAAATTTTCACTAAGTATTTTAAGAAAAAGTTCATAACTTTATGGCCTTATAACTCAAGATCTAAGTATTTTTTGGACATGAACCCTCTAATACAAGTTTGTAGAATTTATCAATATCTACAACTTTCATGTTGAAAGTTTTCCTTGAATCATCTTGCATCATGGTGAAAATTTGGCATGAAGTCAAGAAAAAATAAGACTTAAAATACTTAGAAAATTTTCTAAGTCTTGAAAATTTTAACTTTTCAAAATGAATTTTTACTTTCTTGATTTCTTGATGATAAAGTTTCATATTTTTGCATGTCTTGATGAAATTTGATCTTTGAAACTTAATTTTGATCAAAAAGTCAAAGTTTGACTTTACAATATACAATTGACTTTTCATCAGTTGACTGAATTTCATCTATCAATCCAATGATCTTGAGAAATGAATTAAAACATACAATTAGGTCAAGATGATGCATTTGAATCCTTGATATCATATTTCAAACCAATAAGTCATGTATTAGGTCAAAAGTAAAAAATTAAGCCTTTTTAGTCAAAACCCTAATTTTGACCATTTTGCCCTTTTGATGATTTGATCAATTTTCTTGGGAAATCGTGACCCAAACTTGATCAATTGATACATATGAGTTCAAAATGTTGATATGGGTTAAAAATCTTGAAATTTGACTATAAGTTGGCCACAATTGGCTTTTTGCCCAATATAGTTGATTTTAGGTCATCTGATCAATTGACTGAGCAAACTCGAACTGCAAGACTTGAAATTTGGCATGAGCAATCTTGAAGGTCCATAATGATCCATAAATTCATATGAGACATTAAAAATCCAATTGTCCTTGTGAAAATTTAAACCTTAATTTGAGGCATCAGTGTTAGGAGATGTCTTGACCTAGCCATATTTGTGCAAACTTAAGTCATTGAGGATCTTGTGAAGAATGTATTGAAAAATGAGAGGGAAAATTTTGAGGTACAACAGTTACCAAAAAGACTTATGTTCAAAAACTGATGAAAAATACAGACAAACTAAATCCAGAGATGAATTTACGGTTTTATATGTAAACGTTGAACAAAACTGAATATGTATCTCTAGTACGACCTGTAATTTTTCTGCTTCGTCAATGGCGAAGCTCAATACTGAGACCTCAAAAAAATGGTCATTGATCATAAAAACAACCATACTAAAATATTTATTCCTACTTCTAAGCTTGCAAACAATGAAAATACTTAGATTATCTAACCTAAAACACAATTTTTAAGTGAAATTACATTAACTCAAAAAAGCTCAAAAATAACTTATAATTTCTGTTTTTTGTTGGTTGATGAAGTTTGAACAATGATTTTTGTTTGTTGCTTGTTAATTTATGATGAGATTTTCGCACAATGGAATAATTTTCACATAATGGGGGATTTAAGAGGGTTTTGTGTTTGAGCTCAAATGAACTTTCTAAAATAGGGAAGGCGAAGAGGCAACACACATATTTGTGTTAACACGAATCAAAAATGCACTTACGAGCCCCTCTCGTAAGTGTATTTCTAGTTTATTTATGTGTGATATCTGAGATTTCTTAGTCCTATGGTCTGTAGTTAGGGTGCTTCTAAAAATACAATTACATATCCTTCCCATAAATACATTTCTAATTAAGGTCTTGCCCATCAAAGACCTGACTATAGGTGGTTCTAGAAATATATTTCTAATGACTGAAAACACTTATGCATTTTCACTCGATGCGCTAGAAAAATATATTGCATTAAGAAATTCCCCATGTTAAATTCTCAAAAGCCTTGCACGAATGGCCCAAAGATAAAACCTACATAAGGGAAAGGATTCCCTACCTTTACTATCCATACCCGATACCAATAGATGAAAGCTGTATTGTTCAATTTATTCCTCTGTAGATCACCCAGCCTCGCGTCTTCTTCTCCTACATTTTTCATTCTCCTTGCATTTTCACTCACTTCAGCGCTTTATTTATTTTGGCTTTTAAATTTTTGGACCCATTTTGGGGATACCATCGATGAACATGCACGCCCTTGGCTTTTAACTCAATCATGTTTTAGCCCTTTTCTTGCAATGTTGATAGAAATGCAAACCCTAAAAACTTTTAAGAATACCATGATTTAGGGTTTTCACTACTATTGCACGAGTTTTTCACATTCTTAAACATCGATCATGGTGTCTCAACTCAGAACAATAGGCTTCTAGATATGAACCATATTTCTCTGTTTTAATTACTTGATTTATTCATTTCAACAACTAGTGTTTTTATATTTGTAAAATCACTGGGTAGTGTTATATCAATCTTGTTAATTCGTTTGTTTTTCTTTAGCCTATTGCTAGAGGACTCTTTTTCGTTTTCCCTTCATTTTATATTACTCTTTCAAATATATACTCAAAATGTAACAAGTTTTATTCTCTGCTATGCTATGCCATGCCGCCCAATGATGTAAAATAATATACTATTGAGCTGCTACATGGTTTTGTTCATAACCCACCTTGCAACATTCTCTCTCGGTCTCTCTCTCTCAATGTGTGTGTATGTATGTATGTATCATGGTCTTTCTTTATCTCTATCTATATCTATATCTATCTATCTATGATGCAACAAGGTTGTGAATCAATCCACTGTAAATGCTTTACATCATTTTTGTCTGAGGGCGCTGTGTTTCCTTTTTTTTTTCTTTCTGTCAATAGAAATGATAGTTATTGTTGCAAAAGGGGTTTCTGCTATGCTTAAGAAATACATATTGTAGAAACTCAACATCTCTTGTACATTAGACCAGAGACAGATCTGAAGCAAAAAATAAAAATACATTTGGTGTCAATGCATCTCATAAGGATTCCAAGTGGTTGCATTTGGTGTTGATAATATGCCAAGTTTTACAATTGATTACTGCCAATATGCTTACTCAATTCCCTATGTATCATCTCTATATGTCCAATGACGAATGCTTGTTAAATATGTTTCTTTACACTAATGTCACTGTTGTCTTCTTTTTCTTCTACATTGTTGGCATCATCTTCTTCATCAACATTATTAATTAATTAATTAATTAATTAATCATAGTGACAGTGGGTTGAGATGGTGGAGGTTGTGCCTCGTGTGCACTGCCTTGATGGATGTTGAAAGGCTTTTATGAATGTTGAAAAAATACAAATGTAACAATATCTTAGGGCGTTTGAATAGTCTTATCAGTGTTCTTTAGTTCATCTACTAGCTACCTAACTATGTTGGTGAGAAGTTTAGCTGCTGTTTCATGTATCTACCAGTTTCTCTAATTTACCATGTCCTATTTTCTTTGCTTGTCACCTCATAATTGGCTTTCATTCACTCATTTCCATTTGTAAAGGAGCTCTGTAGTTAATGTCCAGAACAAATGTGCATGTACTCTCGCTTTCATCTTTTCTTGAACTGCTAACAAACTTTCAATGTTGACATATTTATTGTTTAGGGAGTCTATGTTATGTTGAAACTTGGATGTGACATGATATAGTTTCTCTTTGAATTTTGTGTTTCTTATTCATCTGTGGCTTCATCTAGTTATCTATCCTAGGGTGGCAAATTTATCTATAGTAGGGTGGCAAATTAACTTCTTAGTTTTGGCTGTCAATCCCACCGTTCTCATATATGCATATGGTTGTGTTTTGGCTCTTGTATTGTAATAATTACTTGGGTTTTCCCTGTTTTATTGTCATCAATAATTCAACCATTTTCCCTTTATCTTAAACTATTGAATAGTTCTCAATTTTCACCAAGTGTAGATTTGCTTTACCATAAAAGAGAACTAATATTATTTGTTCAATTTCCTTGGGATAAATTTGCATGTGGTAGGGTGGCAAATTTATATTTGTTATTTTTGGTTGTCCATCTACCCTTCTCATTTATGCTTAATAGATTTTTCTTGACAGGTTAAGTTTAGATATCATATTACTAATGGTTGTATTTCTGCCTTTTTTTTTTAATCTTAAACTATTGAATACATTTTCTTTTCATCAAACACAACTTATTATACTTGTTCAATTTCCTTGTGATAAATTTGCATATAACATCTGCTCTGTTTGCTCAATGATGATTTTTCCCTGCTAGACATGTTACTTTGAATATCATTCACAGCTTTTCCATCCACACTGCCTTTCTTCCCACTGTCTAACTATGCTGCTTCTGATTCATATGTTGTTGTTTTTGTTCTACTTTCTTTTCTTCTTCGTCTTTTCATTTTCGTTGTTTCGTTCCACCATTGACAGTGGGTAGAGATGGTAGAGGTTGTGTGATTCTTTCTCTTGTGCACTGCCTGGTGGACGGCAAGATGCTTTTGTGGATGTTGAAAAAGTACTAGCCTAGTAAATATCTGAGGGCACAGTTGCTATCTTGTGTATGAATGACAGCTGTTTATATGCACAGACCAAAAAAATTCAATTTTGTGTTTTATTTTTTGTTTTGGCTGTTTTCTTGGACCGATTTTTGGGATTTCATCAATGAATATGTATGCACTTAGCTATGAGCACAGCAGCTGTTAGCATTTGCCTGCACTGTTTCAAGAAATGCACACCCTACAAGCTTCACACGTTAAAGCAATGTAGGATATTCTGTAATATTTGATACTTGGAGATAATAATGCACACCATAAAATTTGGTGTCAATAATATGGCGAGTTTTTCTTACTGTCTTAGGTCAGGTATTGGCCCTCTGATATCACTTATCAACTACTTGGAGATTAAGTCAATCATTCCCTTTGCCCATTATAATGAGCGAAATGAATTCTATGACGGTGCTATGTGATATTGCATTTTTATTTCTGAAGTAGAATCAGATTTTTCATTTCTATTTCTTATTCTCAATCTGCAATTTTCATTTATGCTCGACAGATTTTACTTGGCAGATTAAATTCCGTACCATTTTAATTACGGTTGAATTTTGGCGATCATATTTTGTTGTATACTTGATTTCCCTTTGTATTATTTTCATCTGTAAATTTACCCTGATATTTTCTTTTACTTGAATTTGATCACTTAAACTAGTTTATTTATGCTTTTCACTTTTCATTAGCTATGAGCACAGCAGCTGTTAGCATTTGCCTGCACTGTTTCAAGAAATGCACACCCTACAAGCTTCACACGTTAAAGCAATGTAGGATATTCTGTAATATTTGATACTTGGAGATAATAATGCACACCATAAAATTTGGTGTCAATAATATGGCGAGTTTTTCTTACTGTCTTAGGTCAGGTATTGGCCCTCTGATATCACTTATCAACTACTTGGAGATTAAGTCAATCATTCCCTTTGCCCATTATAATGAGCGAAATGAATTCTATGACGGTGCTATGTGATATTGCATTTTTATTTCTGAAGTAGAATCAGATTTTTCATTTCTATTTCTTATTCTCAATCTGCAATTTTCATTTATGCTCGACAGATTTTACTTGGCAGATTAAATTCCGTACCATTTTAATTACGGTTGAATTTTGGCGATCATATTTTGTTGTATACTTGATTTCCCTTTGTATTATTTTCATCTGTAAATTTACCCTGATATTTTCTTTTACTTGAATTTGATCACTTAAACTAGTTTATTTATGCTTTTCACTTTTCATTTCTTGTGGATTTCCTTTTCAATTGATAACTACCTATTGTGCTGACTCTATTCCCTCTGGAGAAATTCCTCGGTGTCTTATGAATATGCCCAATGACGAAAGCTTATAAACATAAGGTACTTTGAATATAATTCAAAGCCTTTCCATCCCTTCTGCCCTTTTCACACTGCCATCACTATTGACTTGTTTTTCTTCTTCTACTTCTTCCAATTCTTCTTTTTCTTCTTCTTCTTCTTCTACACTGTCGTCGGCATCATTGTTATTATTATTATTACTATTATTATTATTATTCATAGTGACAGTGGGTTGAGGTGGCGGAGTTTGTGCTACTTGGGCACTCCCTTGATGGGGATGTTGAGAGGCTTTTATGGATGTTGAAAAAGTACAAATCTCACAATATCTGCTATCTCTTAATTTGGATATCTTGTCAGTTGGTTCCTTCATTTTTTTATGTTATCTTCAGGAATCTAGCGGTCTGCCTGACTATGCCCCTGTCGAGGACAGGTGAAGAGAAATGTAGATGCTCTTTCCTGTTTACTAATTTCTCTACTTTACTCTGTCCTACCTTTTTGCAGGTTGATGTTTCATAATTGGCTATCGTTCACCAATTTCTCTCACTTGTGAAGGAACTTTAGTTGATGTCCAGAATGAACGTGCAAGTACTCCCCCTTTTATATCTTCTTAAACTGCACAGAAACTTTCGTTGGTAGGGTGGAAAATTTATATTTCTTAGTTTCGATTTGAGTTTAGTGTTTCTTATTCATCTGCAGCTCCCTCTAGTATTTCTCAATTATCTATTGTAGGGTGGCAAATTTGTACTTCTTAGTTTTGGCCATCAATATATCATTCTCATATATGCTTAATTGATTTTTCTTGGCAGGCTAAATTTAAATATTAATTAAGGTTGTATTTTGGCTCTTGTCTTTTAATTATTACTTGACTTTTCCCTGTTTTATTGTCATCAATAAATTTCACCAAGTGTAGATTTGCTTTACCATCAAAGAGAGCTAATATTACTTGCTCATTTATACTTAATGGTTGTATTTTGACAATTATGTTTTCAAAATTACTTGGGTTTTCACTGTTCGGTTGTTATTTGTTTTAAGCTTAAACTATTGACTACTTCCCAATTTTCACTTAGTGTAGATTTGTTCTATCATCAAACTTATATTAATTGTTTGATTTCCTTGGGATGAATTTGCATTTAATTTCTTCCGTATATGCCCGATGATGATTTTTCCCTGTTAGACGTGTTACTCTGAATATCATTCACAGCTTTTCCATCCATTCTGCCTTTCTTCCCACTGTCATCACTTTTAACTATGGTGTTGTTGTTGGTGCTGTTGTTGTTCTACTTCCTTTTCTTCTTCGTCTTCTCACTTTCATTGTCGTTGTTATCATTACTACTACTACTGACAGTGGGTAGAGATGGTAGAGTGGCTTTTACGGATGTTGAAAAAGTACTAACACTAAATATCTGAGGGCACAGTTGCTATCTTATGTTTGAATAATTTTTTCTATGTTTTCAGTTTTAATTTTTTATTTGACATGTTAATTTCATGAATCATGACTGACCTTCTTGTCCTATCTGTCAAGTATCTGTTGTCTTTGTAGTTACATGTGTTTGCTGCACAAGTTAGAGAGAAAGGAAGTGGGGAGCTTATGTGGATATGTCTGTATGTTTAGCTATGAGATCTGAGAGCTATGCGTTTATTTTTTATGGCAATTTTTTTGGACTCTATATGTAATAATATGCTTATATTCTTCTTTACATTCTTCTGAGTGCTATAATATGAGTGTGTCTAAAAAAAATTAATGTTTTTCATTTAATGTACAAGCCAGCTATTGTTTTTCCTGCCTTGCTGTGTTTGCATAAGAGAATTTTCTGAAATATATGATAGTATTTGAGCTTTCCAACACGTGTTGTATAAGTGTCATACAAGTGTTGGACACCGACGTCGACGTGTGTCCTATCATAGGAGAGGTGTCATTGGGCAGGGTCCTGTCAGTGTGTCGGTGAATGTGGTCGTGAAGAGTCGGTCTAACATATGTATTTTGAGTGTTTGATGTTTGCAAGTATTTTGTACTCTGTTAGCAACTGGTTTGGAATTTCTTCAGTATTTCCAAAGGAAAGTTTGGCGCATCTAGAGCTAATTGAAGGCTTATTCGGAAGCGGAAGAGCTTTCTCTAAAAGTGTAACTGTGGTGTGGTTTGCTTGCATTTGGAGCATATGGAAAGCAATAAATGATAAATTATTCAACAACACTTCCGATATGAGTGGATCAAATGGCTTAAGATGTAAAAGGTTGTCATGGAATTGGCTGAATATCACATCAAATCAAACCGTGTAGATTACTGCTTGTCTCAGTGGTACCTGAACCCCAGAACTTGTTTCGGCTGTGTGGACGAGTGAGTTCACTGCAGATGTTTTCTCCAGTAGAGATTGTTGATGCCCGGTTGAGGGATTTTCAGATAATTTTTATGTCAAATACTTGGGCTGGAAACTGTCATTCAGTGTTGGTTTTTACTGTGATGGATCTTCCGATCGGTCCTTAGGCTGTGGAGTACATTGGATTTTGATTATGTTTATGTCGATCCGGGTAATAGGTTTCTGTAATGCAGCTTGCTGTACTCCTACCACAGATGCCTGCCCCTGCCCCTGCAATGTAGGATTTTCTTTAATATTTGATACTTACAATTACAGGTGCATGAAGTTTTTTCATTGTCGAACTTAATGATAGTGTCAACTGAGAACAATAGGATTGTAGATATGATGTTCTCCGTGACTGTTTTTTGTTTAGTTTTTCTTACACGTGTATTACAGAAGCTTATATGGATGACATGAACATAAAAACATGATTTCACTCTTTGAATTAAATAATGAAAATGTAGCAACTTTTCTTCTATGCTGCACAGTAATGTAAAAATATAGGCGAAGGTTGTGCTCTGAATGCACGGTCTTGATGGATGTTAAGAGAATGTTAAAGAAGTATAAGTCTAACTATATCTTAGGGGTTAGTTGATATCTTGTGTTTGAATAAAGTTGTCATTCGGTTCTTTTATATGATAACTTCAGGACTCTAGGTGCCTACTAATTTCTCTAATTTACTTTGTCCTCCGTTTTTATAGGTTGAGAGAAACTGTAGTTATGTCCGGAACTAATTTACTTTGTCCTCTGTTTTTGCAGTTTGAAAGAAATTGGTTATGTCAAGAACTAATGTGCAACAGTTGATGACTTTGGATGGTTGCTATGTTAGGAATAATTGTTTGAATTAGTTTATATTTGACTCAGTACTGATAGAAACTTATGTTTGGAGATTGGTTATTTTTAATCCTCGTTATTCTTGAAACGAGGTAACGTGATTAATCACCACTCTTTGCATTCTTTCCTTTTTATTTTCCTAACATTTTAGAGATGTAATATAAAATAAATATCATGGTTTTATGCTATTAAATTAAAAACTATGCAGTTGTGAATGATTCAATTTTGGAATTCTTCGAAGGCCATGTGACATTTTTACAGAGTCAATTTTTGTGACAGACTTCCAAAGGTCAAGGATATGGTTGCTTAAAAAAGATGGTAAAATTGAACCATGCTGTCTTGTTGGGGAACTATACGGAAGAGGTCTGGTTTTCGATAGGAGACATTCAATAGATGGCCCCACCTATAAGACCACCGTTTTTGAAATCTGAATGGAAGTGGTATAGTCAAACAGAGCCTTACTCTTTTCTTTTTTTTTGGATGAAAATAATAGGTATTAAATAGCCAAATAGCAGGTCCCGATTTTTTAGTTCAATTTTACACTTGAGATCATAATTAAACTCATTACTTTCGTCAGTTCCATCGTACACTTGACTGGTGTAGGAAAGGTTGTAAATTTGTGCGAACTCTTCAAATGCTCAGTTGAATGGAATTCTTCTTGACTTCGAAGTTAAGAACACCATTTGAATATGTGAGGTTGGTGTAGAACAATTTCACTAAATGAGGAAATTATTTTTTCACTTAATCCTCATAAGAAATTGATTAAGCAACTAGTACATAAAAAAAACCAAAATGCTTACTAGCTTCATTGCTTTCATCCCGACAATCATCTTCATTTGTTAGGGTTAAAATTGAACTTTTAAATGGGGTGTCTGTTTATATTCTCCAATAGGTCTCCTTCCTTACACTCTCATTCGGTTCTTCGTTTTACTTATTTTTATTTTATTTTGGCTTTTAAATTTTTGGACCCATTTTCGGGATACCATGGATATGCCCTCGGCTTTTAGTTCAACATGTTTTAGCCTTTTCTTGCAATGTTCATAGAAATGTAAACCCTAAAAGCTTTACATAATACCATGATTAGGGTTTTCACTACTATTTCTTACAAACAATTGCATTAGCTTTTCACATTCTTAAACATTGATGATGGTGTGTCCAATCAGAACGATAGGCTTCTAGATATTAAGAGTTCTCTGAGAATAATAGGTTTGTTTTTTCTGTTTACCTATTGCTAGAGGTCCCTTTTGTTTTCCCTTCATTTTATATTACCCAAGTTTACTCTTTCAAATATATACTGAAAATATAGTTTTCTGCTATGCTATGCTGCCCAATGATGTAAAAATAGACTATTGACTTGTTACATGGTTTTTTGCTATTGAATTGTCCAATGTGTATTGTTGTACTTTAAAATTTTCCCTTTCATTTATCAAGGATTTGCTCACAAGACCTCCTTAGACTCAAGATTGCATTAGGGTTTGATCAGCTCAAGAAACCTCCTTAACCACTGATGACCAAAATTAGGGTTTGAGTTTGCACAAGGATTTTTGAACTATCAATGCTTCATATGATTTTCATGGACCATTATGGACTCCCAAGATTACTCATGTCAAGTTTCAAGTCTTGGATCACACTTTTGATCAGTCAATTGAACAGTTGACATAAAAATCAGCTGTATTGGAGAAAAAAGTCAATCATGACCAATTTACAGTCAAATCTCAATTTTTTATCCACATCAACATTTTAAACCCATATGTATCATTTGATCAACTTTGGACCATAATTCCTCAAGAAGTTTGATCAAATCTTCAAAAAGGCAAAATGGTCAAAATTAGGGTTTTGATTGGAAAATGGCAATTTCTGATTTCTTACCTAACAAATGATCAATTGGTTTAAGACATGATCTCAAGAGTCCAATTGCATCATTTTGACCTAATGATATGGTTTCAAACATTGCAAGTCTGTTGAATTGACAAATGAGTTTTGCAGTCAACTGATCAAAAGTCAACTGTATACTGAAAAGTCAAACTTTGACTTTTTGGTCAAATTCAAATGTCAAAGATCACAATCATCAAAACATGTCAAAATATGAAACTTATTCATCATGAAATCAAAAAGTCAAGATTTCATTTTTGAAAAGTCAAAATTTCTTAACTTCAAAAATTTTCTAAGTGTTGAAAATTCATGTTTTTTTTCATAACTTTGAGCCAAATTTTCACCATGATGCAATATGATTCAAAAGAAACTTCCAACATGAAATCTACAACTTTTCTTCACACAACTTCTTCCAAAAGTGCTTGGATCTCAAGTTATAATTTCAAGAACATAGGGTCATGAAACTAAACACTTAGTGAAATTTTGTCCTAATTTAGTCAGGATTTTGACTCAACTTCATGGCACTTTTTCATATAGTTCCAAGGGGAATCTTCAAAATCAATTCAAAGATGGGTTGTAGAGCACATTGCAAGCTTTCCAAAATGTTCAAAAACTCATTGAGATCATTCTTGAATAGGGAGAAACGAAGAGATGAAGTTGGTATTTTATCACTTGAATTACAAGGAATTTTGTGAATGAACAAGAATCCAATTTCAAACCTATGCTGCACTGTGATACGGTGGGAGAACTGACTTGAAAGTTTTGCGTTTGATCGCAAATGTTGTGGTTAGCAAGAGTCCCCATCGATTTTTCTTTTATCCAAAAGGAAAGGTGAAAAAGCACAAGAAAGACCTTTAGAGATGTTTTTGAGTTCGGGGGGTAGATTATGAAAAGAGAAGGTATTAGCATCCTTTTCATCCATGGTTTTCCATGGACTCTTAGTTACTTGCTAGATCACTTGCTTGTGTTTGAATGTGCTTGTGGTGTGTGTTTTGTAAGTATTTTTGAAAATGGAACTTTGTAATGGTTCTCGTTTCTATAAGAATGCGTACAAAGTTTTGTTTCGAAAGATAGTTCAAAGACGTGTTTGTGGATTGTGTTGTGGAAAGTGGTTTTCGGAAAGATATTTTGCAATAGTTCTCGTCTCTATAAGAACGTATACAAAATATTTTATCTTTTGAAAAATGTTTTTGAAATGGAAGCGTTGGTGTGTAAAAGTGTTTTTGTCGTGAGCAAGTGAGTAACTAGGAGCGAATCTACCTACTCGAAAGGTCTTAAACGTGCTTTTTCTTCTCCTTTAGATATGGCTATCTTACCATTGATTTGGTAAGAAGCCTCATCGTTGGAAGTGAAGGGACGGACGCGGGACGTTTGAATAGGCATAGAAGGCAACTAATGAGACGTTTTAGCAATGTCGTTTTAAGGACTAGATCGTTTACTGAAGGCAACATCGAGGGTCATCGAGGGACTACGACCTTTTATCGAGGGTCTTTTGCTAAAACACCCATGTTCGAGGGACATGACTATTTTTCTGATAGGCAACAAAGCGAGATTACCATAGAGGTGTATGTGTGAATGGTGTGTTTGATTGCATGCGTTTAGTCTTTGATTAGGGTGGTCTACTTGTTGGTTTTATCTTGCCATACACTCTAATTACTAACATTTATGAAAGCAAAAATGCAGAAAATAAAGGTCCTACGCTATTACATGCTTTTTGAGGGATGGGATATACAAGTGTACAAGTGGGGGTTGCAGAAAATAAAATTCCTAATTATTACAACCAAATTGAATGAAACTAAAAACAAAAAATCAAAAGAAAAATCAAAATTTATGATGTCTGGTCTGACACGGGCCGTGTCCTATGACACGGGCACCCGTGTCAGCTTCTGTAATGGTCCATGTGCCTCTTTTCCTTTTCTGTATCAGCTAAAATGACACGGGTTGTATCCAGTGACACGGGCACCCGTGTCGGCTCCTGACCTGCATTTTTGTTAGTGTAAATTTCCAATATGGTTGACACGGCCGTGTCCTGTGACACGGGCACCCGTGTCAGCCCCAGACCTGCATTTTTGTGCGATTTTTTTCAACAGAGGAGCTGACACGGCCGTGTCAGCCCCTGTCATGCTTTTTTTTACTGAGTTTTCCCTTTTTTTGACTTATCATTTACATATCTTTTGGACGCAAACAAAAAATGATATATGGAAAAAGATATTACAG